ATCGTGGATAGCGATAAGATAGAGAATTGCAAATTTCCATGAGAAAGAAAACTCCATAATATATTGCTTTCTAGTGACCTAAGAATATACGATTTCTTGAATATAGGCGAAAGTATACGCCGTGTCATTGAATTTGATTAGGAGATAATCGCGGTTTGGAAAAACCTTGCCCGCCCGTCACTCTGTTGGAAGATCCCAGAAAACCGTATTCGTTTCCTGTGTAAACGTATTTTGTACGTAAATGTTGGGGTACCTCCCGCCGAAATCGGCGCGGAGTATTGTATGCATATTGTATACATCATATCCGGAAGTATTAGTCATCGCTTATCCGTGAAATTTAGGTGCGATGAAAAACGCGCTTATTTATTAATTAACAGTATTGTTGGTGCGTCATTTGCGTGCACTGAAAAAAAGGTTTGGTTATAATAACCTAAAGGCTTGGTGAAATAGCTTCAACTAAAGGGTTTAGTGATTATGACGAAATATTTGGTTAATGTTAACAAATTTGGTTAATGTTAACAAATTCGGTTAACATTAACCAAATATTTCGTCATAATCACTAAACCCTTAAGTTGAAGCTATTTCACCATACCTTAGGTTATTCTAACCAAACTTTTTTTCAGGTACTTTTCTTTGTCCATTCTGTTGAGGTTTAATCTCTTGTTTTCTTTGTTTGTATTACTACTGCTACTGCTACTACTACTACTACTACTGCTGCTGCTACTACTGCTACTACTGCTGTTACTGCTGCTGCTACTACTGCTAATATTATTATTATTACTGCTACTATTACTAATTGTATTACTACTGTGGTGCACACAAAAATAATCATTCTACAGCCAAGGAAAGCACTTACTTACTTTATTTTATTTCTTTTAAGTAAGTTTTCTTACAACAAATAATATTTTCTTACTATAGTCCAGGCAACGTAGGCGAAAAACATGCGTTATTTGAAAATTTGTTCTCGAAGAATGAATTCACTTGAAACCTTTTGGAAAGTGTTTTTCTACCCTTAAATGGAAAAGTTTACCTATTTATTTCATGTGCTCTTACCTATTTTTGGAAAAAAACGAAAAAAACCGATTTTTTTAAGGAAAATGTGAAAAAGTGATTATAATTAAAAAAATGTTAAATGTATAATCATGAAATTCATAGGTAATGTGTTTTCAAGGTTGCTGAATACGAATCTAAAGTAAAATTTTCAACATTATAAAATAGCGACTCAAAAGGGCGGGTAAAAAGCACTTCCAACAATTACGGAGACTGTTCTGTGGCGAAGGCGCTTCGCAAACTGATTTCCTTTTGTTAAACTTCAAAAATATATGTGAACGATTCTTAAAACAAAAGAATGTTAGAAAAAGGATGGAGACAGCGTAGCATTTGTTTGCAGCGAGCACCCGCTTACTCGCACGCTGCGGTTCTCCGCGCGCGAGCCGAGAAATCTTATACAGTTTATAGTACTCCCCAGGAAATTCTACCCCTGTTTTATGTACAATTCTTTAAGATTCGGTCAATTATTTCCCGAAAAGTTAGAAAAATTTTGGATACCGGTTCCAAAAAAGATTGGTAATGAAAAATTATACACTTCATATTACTCCCCGGAAAATTCTATCCCTGTTTCATATATAATTCTTTGAGATTCCGTCAATTATTTCCCAAAAAATTGAAGAAATTAGAAAAACCGGTTTCCAGAAGATCGGTAACGAAAAACTATACACCCTATAGCATTCTTCGGGAAATATTCTACCCCTACTTCATATAAAATACTTTCAAAATCGGTCCAATAGTTTCTAAGATTACCCCGAACAACAGTACAAATGACAGTAAATACGACTTTTTTTTACTAAACGCGTGTAGCCACTAAAATAAAAGTTCAAAAAAATATTTCCGATATACAGTCTTAAAGTTTAAAACCCAAGCTACAACATCTCATAAGTCATTTTCTCAAAAAAAAAAAATTTTTTTTATTACTTTTTTTCGACTTTAAAAATAGATAAATTTTTTCATATTTTCTAGTTCGACATTTATTTTCATGTACTTTTTTGAAAAATACACCTACTTAATATTTTGTTTTTCAAATAAAACATGTATCATCTTAAAGTACATATTTTCAGCTTTAAAAAACCCTGTTATTAAATTTCAATATCTATTGCCTAAGCAGTAATATCTGCAGTCAAACTTGTTGATCAATTTTGAAATAACGAAATTTCAAGAAAACTATCAACTTTTTGAGGTCCCAACTTTTAAAAAATAAATTTTTGTAATTTTTTTCACTTATTGCATGTTATCAGCACATATTTTAAGAATATAATGCTTTAATTTAGAAGTAAAAATCTGCAAATTTAAATAAATGGCAATGATATTAGTAAAATAAGTAAAAAATTTCACATCGCCTCTCTTCAAATTCGATTTAAATATACTCAAAATGCTTTCTCAATTTTTCTAAACCGAAAATTAGTAAATTACGTCTACTTTCGAATGCTTTTTGTAAAATTTGATTCTATCGATCCAATCAAAAATTACAACTCTTTTTAAAAAGTGCGCGCACGCCCGCGTACTCTGCAGGCGGCTTCACACGGGACGGCATCGACGCACTTTGAAGCGTTAATTAAAAAATTATTACTCCTACACATACTAATATTAAGAAACCTTTAGATATGTTTCTTTAGTAAAATTTTCTCCTCTTTCGATTGGCATGGTTTATTTTTTCATAAAATTAATGTTTTTTTAGTTATACTCAAAAAACCCATTTTTTCGGTCTTTTTTGTTGAATAAAACATTTAGCACAGGGTTTACGTTGGTAAACTTTTGGGACATGTTTTCTGAAACCCAAAAGAACACTTTCCAAAAAAGTTTACTTTTTGAGGAGAAATTTTCAAGTGTTTTCCTACATTGACTGGACTATAATAGTTTTCAAATATCTTGACACAAGTCTTTGAAAACCAGAATATTGTTTTGAGTAAATGTAATGTTTAGAATGAATTTATGGTAGATTTGCGAATTAAGTATTTGATAAGGTTACCTATATATCCGCAACGCTCTCACCGACGATCTTATCGGACGACAAGAGCTAGCCGGGAATATATTTATGGAATCTTACCATCCCAACTCGCAGAGAGTCGCATGGTATTTTTGGGGACACATCCTTCACATACATCATTTCATCCAACTATACACTCTTCTACACTATCATCATTATCCCGCGATCGACAACGACTCGAACCCTAAACTACTATTACTATACTATTACTGCTATTACTGCTATTACTACTATCACTACTATCACTACTACTAATACTATTATTATTATTATTATTATCATTATCATTATCATTATCATTATTATTATTATTATTATTATTATTATTATTATTATTATTATTATTGTTATTGTTATTGTTATTATTATTATTGCTACTACTACTATTATTTGACTAACAATAAGTGGAATGGAAGCACGAAGATGTAGCTATCAAAAAGCTACGAAACGTTGGTCGTAAGTAAATAGCGGGCCGATTGACTCAGGAAACGATCGTGGAATAATTTCCGTGTTTTCATATCGGCGGCACATCCAATTGCACGATTACGCTGCGAGGATTACGCGATCGGCTCGAGGATGTGTCGCGCAGTATTGCGTCAGGATTGCAGTGTATCCGTCATTGGGATTGCATTGCATCAGGTTGCGCGATCGAAAAAAAAACGCTGGATAAAAACGTTTGCGGATGATCTGTGGCGCGTACAATGGTTCTTCTTGTTCTCTTCGAGCGGGCGACACTCGTCGAGGATTGCGTTATCTTGCGCGATAGGAACGCTCACTATTATGACCAACTACTGGGCATTCAAATTACTGGAGTCATTAGACATGCGACTGCAGAGAGTGGAAAAAATAGCCTATTTACTGCGCTACCATACACGGAGAGAATTTTTTCTTAAAATTTACCCTGAAATCATGGTAGTTGTGGGACAACATGTACCACCAAGAATTTTATGCGAGCTAATCTGATTAATATCTACCTTAATAAAAAATATTAATATCTATTACATTAAAATATAAAATATGTTTGATTAATTTAACTAAAATATATCTAGGAAATTTCAATAATTTTTCAAAATTTACCAATCTGCTTGGTAATTTTTATCACGTTGTTTGTAAAATGTCTTTTGTATATTTTAAAAATTCCTTAGTTGCCAAGTTGTCCCAAGTTTGTAGTGAATTTAAGGGTAAAATATAACAAAAAATTCTCTTTGTGTCGAAAGAAACGTAAAGTATAAGACTATCTTGCAACATCAACATTGTTTGGGTCGAGAACATTTATTAATTTGAGATTTTGTTAGATCTCTCGGGCATATTGTGTTAGAAAATTATAACTGGAGTGTCCTAAAAAGACTGCTCTTTTCAGATATTTAATTTGCCAATTTTTCGAAAATAATATACATATAGTGCATTTAAAATAATGTCGGTTAAAATATTTATTCCTAGATTTACTCCTTCTATTTTAAGATCGCAAGAAACCGCAAGCTGTGTACGTGCTACTTAATGCAAAAATATGCTAATTGCGTTGTTTTTCACCGCGTTTCCTTCTATTGGAGTCTCTATACGCGATATTCTTATCACGTATTCCGCGAATTTTACCACCCGTATCTCTATCTATTGTTATTTTCTAGCGAATTTAGCGACTGTTTATTCATTTCTTTTATATTGCAAATTGCAAAAATATTTTTACGCTAATTGAATCTATTTGACGTTATTTGATGAAAGTTACTGCAAGTTTCTGCAAAGTTACGGCAAGAATCTGCAGAATGACAGATTTGAAACATCGATGAATCGTGACAAATAAATAGAAATATTTGAGTCAGTAAAAACGTGCTCGATGAATTTGTTGTGTCGCGCGCGGGTCGATGATAGAGTATCGTTATCGACGAGATAACGATCGTTTGGAACGTCCAGCAGGAATAGCATTGCATTGCTACCGGGCTTTAGTATCGCGTGAGCCGTGAAAGTGGATCAAAAGTCGTGCCGAGGGGAGTGTGCGAGAAGACGAGGATGACGACCCCGTTCAGAGTTGCTCTCAATGAATCAGGAAACGTAGATCGTTGACATCTCCGCTAACTAGATCTAATTTCGAATTTGCTCTGTTAAGATAAAGAGCAAGAGAGAGTCTACCGAGAGATACAACAAAAAAGATAAGCTGATAAGAGATAATAAAAGAAATCGTTACGACGACCATTAGTTCTGGAGGGCAAGACATAAATAGATGAAGGGGGGAAGGAATGAGTGAGGAATAAGTGAAAAAAGGATGAGAAAGTGTCATTCAAAATTGTGGATAAAACACGAAAAGAGTATAGCTGGATTGGCGTGTAAAGGAGTGCGAAGAACTGAGATTAGAGAGCAGCAATCAGAGCTGAGGGGGTGAGTTTCGTTTTTTTTTTACGAGGATGATTGGAATCGTCGAGAGATGAACTTGCGACTTACGTACCGAGCGTAAAGAAAAACGAATTTTTGTGGAAAATATAGAAGAGTGGAGTGAATAAACTGAGAAAAGAAAAATCGGAAAAGAGGGATAGCGAGCGCAGTTGGACGAACCACTTATGAAGAGGGGCTAAGATATTAATCAACTGAATCTTATTTTTTTGTATTTCTACCTTTTCCCCTTCTCGTGCTAAGAAATTCCCGATTGTACATCGGTCACGTGGATCAGACATGACCAAGATAAGCTCTTAGTGACAAAAAAATAATGGCAAATGTGAAAGATAAAGAAGAGGGATGAAATGTCGAGCAAGTGGAAAACGACTAAGGATCAAACGCATTAACGTGTTGGAAATTTATTTTTATGTAGATTAACGATGATTAATTAATGAATGGCGAAAGTAACACTTTGTTTTCTTATCAAAGAAAGTATAAGTTGTATAAGTTGGGAAGAAAGAGAATAAATACAGTAAGTTCTAAAGAAGCAAACTCGAAAATTAAAAAGAAGATAGAGAAAGAAAAACGCAGGAGTGAATAAATGAAAGACAATAACAAAATTAGCATAATTTAAGCATGAAATTTTCGGCTGTGCCATACGTAGACTAATCACGAATGGAAGCAGTTTTCAACGGAGAAGAGGAGGTAGTAAACAAAGAAAGGAAAAGAAAAAGAAAAGAACGAGAAAAAATTTTTTAGGTGAAAAATCTCTTGATAGGATTAATTGTAAGACGTGAAATTCTACTGATCGCGTTGATTAAAATAAGTATAATTAGTTCTAAGAAAAGTGAAAGACACGGTAAAAAAGACTGAAGAAGGTAAAGAAAAGTAGAAATTTTTAAGAGAGAGACAACTGCAAGATTAAGAAGTAGTGACGTGGATCGAAGATCGAGGAGGAAAAATGAACGCGCGTCTGCACGAGATGGAAGAAGAAAGACGAGGAGGTAAGGCGAGAGAAGAGGATGGAAACATCATTCTCGGTGATGGTCGTCAACAACGGGGTCGTTGCTCCGATCTCCGCGACTGGATCGGCAAGGCGTCGGGTTACGTCGGTGTCGATGCGCGTCACATGGCAAGAGGAAACGGGATCGATTTTCCGTCACGCGAATTGCTGAAACCACCGCCGTCGTCTTATGGTCCAGCGATCGCGTTTAGCAACGTCAATGTCTTACCCGGCAATATTGCCGCACCCTCTTCCAGCCTTACGTCACACGCTGGCGATAATACTAGATCACGAGCTTGCGATATCGGGACGACATCTTGCTCCACGATGAGATTTCCGTATGCGTCTGGGCTGAGTTGCAACGTGGCGTGTAGTAATGCACCAGCGACGTCGTGCAATATCGCGTCAGCAACGTGCAATGTCGCTTCAGCGGGCGCCGATTGCGACGATCCGGTGGAAACAAGGTGGTTCCGTAACGACGGTCACTTGGCCGACCCGCAGTCGGGGACTCGCGCGGCGAATACGGCGGCCTCGAGGACTTGCCAGCTTGGTCCGATTGACGTTGAGGACCTCGCGATGTACTTTGATCCACCGACGGACGGCTGCAAACCGCTTTCGGCGGGTAATCGCGCGATCTACTCGAGGAGATCGCGATACGCGCAGGCCGCAAGGATGGACCAACCCCGAGAGTATCGTCGCGATCTGGATTTCCGTGATCTACCCTCTTGCGATTTAGCGCCTAACCATTTACGAACTTGCGACATGGGTCCCAGCACTCTGGGATATTGCGATCTAGGGTATAGCGATTTACGACTACGTGACTCGCCATTTTGCGATCCGAGACTTAGCGACTCGCAATTTTGCGACGTGAACTCTCATGCCGCACACCCGTGTGAGGAGCAGCCGCGCGAATCGGGCCAATACGATCTAGGACAAGGCGGTCCAGGACCAGGCAATTGGTTTTGCAACAACTGCCCGGAACTGTTCAATTTCTGCAGCGAGGACCGGTGGCTACAGTGCCCGGCGAGCGATCGCTGTCCCCTTTACGACACCTCGTACGCTTATGGCACACCCGTCTTGCCGCCATGTATGTACGATAATGGTTACGATGATAATGATAACTTGCATCACGGCTACGTGGAGGACGAACAGCTCCTCGAGAATTACTTGTAAGTTGGCGATTATCGTAATGTTCTTTTGTTTTTCCCGTTTTCACCTGCTGCTTTTTGACACCGTGACGTTCCAAATGGTGAATCAATTCTATAAAAGTTTTTTTTAGGATAAATCTATTTTCTTCTAATTAATCTAAATCTTTTTTAATTTTAATTCAATTTTATCCATCAATTGTAACCTAATTCAATTGAAATTACTCTACTCAATTTTAGTAGTTTTTAAAATTCTTTTAACGAAAATTAAGTTTTCTAAACTTTATGATAAGTTTTCTTAAACATTTAAACAAGTTAGCCCGTTCCAAAAAAACTGTTTTCTTTCAATTAAAGAAGTTTGCATGTCACTTATAGTTTGTACAACATGGAACATTCTATATTAATCTGCGCCGAAGAAAAAAAATGAATTGATTGTATCGTTTTTCCGCGGGAATTTTCCGTAACGTTTAATTACGTCGACCGGATTAGCCGATCAGTTTAACTTTGACTGGTTTGAGTCCACTAGCGGTAGGAGGGAGGTGAGGGAAAGAAAACGTGACGAGATCGTAGGATCGATTTCGAAGTATCGTTCGAAGGTCGGCCTGCCGCGGTGATAACGCTTCGCCTCGCGATAACGTCGACGTTTTCCCTCGATTGACGACCGAAAAAGATGCACCTTTCGATCTGCCAATAGCTTCTGCAGCGACAGCAATTGAATGCGCTCGAGTTAATGCTGATACTTCAAGCGGTTTTCATGATAGACAATCTCTTCCGCCTCTTCGCTTCTTAGACTGAGACTTTATCCATCTCAGATATTTCGGGAGGGAGTTTTTTAGAATTTGTCTCTGTAACGAAATTTTCTCTCTCCCTTTCCTTCTCCCTCTCCCTCCCCCCCTCTCTCTCTCTCTCTCTCTCTCTCTCTCTTTATGAGGGTTGTTGTATACTTTAAAATAATGTTGGTAAAACTATTTCTTTAGCCGAAAGCAAAGTATCGGCAAAATTTTACAAAATTTGTAGTGCATTAAATTCAATGAAACAGGTCTAATTTCTACTAAAAATTGGTATTTAAATGTTATCTTTGTCAAATGATACGCGTGCATATTCGCGCTTGGTAACCGAGTAGCCTACTTACTCCGAAATCAAGCGGTGCCTGCAGCGTGCACAGCATGCATTATGATGCACGATTAGTGTAACCAATGTAGCGTAATGGTGAGCCAAGTTGATGACAGCGACTTTCTAGAATCGGGCAATGAGACCGTTTATCATGTATGATAGTGCACCTGACACGTGATAGCGACACTTCGCTCACGAGGTACTTCAGGACGTCTGTTTGCGGAAAAAAGTTTAGTAGAAGATAGTCAAGAGAGCTCTCGTTCACGCGTGATTCATTCTATGTGAAAAACGCGCAAAAGAAGAGTATATATACACACACACACACACACACACACACACACACACACACA